TCGGATGCCGTATCTCAATATCTCTTCGCGCCAGCTTTACAACTACATTTCTCGCATCTAACGGATGCAACTCGATTCAGCCATCTCGTAACACGCTAAACGCTGGCTTAAATCGGTGCAGCCGAACGCTTTCTGGGCTTCCCTTAAACCACCTCACTTTACTTCGAGGGCAATCAAATCAATTAACACTTTCGTCAACGCACCAAAAACGACCCACGCAATAATCGGCCGAGAGAGCAGCCTCCAGATTTGATTGCTTCGATTTCAGTTTTGTCATCTGAGGTGATTACAATGTTGCACCGTGCTCAAAATGCGGCCATAAATGAGTAATCGTCCATAAACAATCAAAGCAGTGTGTTAAATAGGTATTTTTATGTTTTTTATACGACTGCATTAAAAGTTAGACAGCTTGTTGGTTTACCAAAGTCCACAAAGTTGAATCAATATTATAATTATCTGGGAACGTGGCTGTCTTTTTTAGACTTATTTACAGATGCATGGTCACACTGTGTAAAAATAACCTAGTTTCAATGTTTATTATTTTTGATTGGTCACACTGCATTGTTGGTAAAATATGATTATAAACTTGAGGATGGTGGTTTTCTCTAAAAATAAAATTAGAAATTGAATTTTCAACGCCTAAACTTCTTAATTATTAGCTTCAACTCAAAATCATTTTGATAAGATTTTTGCAAACCCATTCAAATCTGGAAACCACTGTGCCTGGGTAACGACAGCGCCCGCCTTGATTGAAAATTGGGTTATTGTCAGCGACCCATTGAAGCGGCAGGGGCGATGTTATTAAACTTTTGCTTTATTTATGGAAATTAGTGTCAAGTAAATCATGTGCATGAGCATTTTGCAATATCGCCATATACTACACACAGAGGCAGCCAAACACACACAACATACACATTGGAAAGCATTAGGCGAAATTTCTATTCCTAAAACAACACAGAAATCCATTGAAAATCGATTGATGATAAAGATAGAGAGAGAGGATAAACAGGCGAGGGAAAAGAGCAGCATGGGTCAGCTGGGCAATGTGAAAGTCCCAATGAAATTGAGACTCATTGAAGATTCAATGACTAAGTGGAAAGGTGAACCAGTTGAGATTGTTTAATGTTTCCGCAAAAATGGAAAGGAAGTTGAACCGAACGCCTCCAGTTGGCGGATCGAAAATAAAAATGCCCAAAGGTCGCTGAACGTCCGTCTCCGCCGGCCTTTGATTGAGCAAAGATGAGCAATTCGGCATCAAATATTAACATAACAGACATATTCCCCTTATATAGACACTGTGGCATAATTAGCCGAGTGGGCGGTGATAACTTTGAAATTGATCGTGATGATCGAGCAAGCACACATATAGTGAAATATAAAAAAGACCTTTGAATGTATTTTTTTTATGAGAGATCGCCTTCGAATTTCGCTTGATTTATTGAATAGTCCATGAACCTTTGGAAACCTTTGATGGTAATTTCCTAGAATTTATTGCCTGATGAGAACTAGAACTTGGGTTTTTTATTTTATATTACTTTTCGCTGAATTTCATCATAAATTCAAACTAGCTAAATCATTTCTCTGTTCATTTTAACCTCTGAAAAGTCTGCAGTGACACTTTTAAGCATAATTGTATTGCTGTCCAAACTAGTTGAAATTTTGGGCCATAACTCAATTACCCAACCAATTTCACAAGCTGCCGACCCCCGCCCACAAATCGTAGTTGCTACTTTCAACACCTCCAGCGTCGCAACTTCAAAGGGTGATGGTCTTATGTACCAAACACCCAGCAACACCAACAAGGAGGGCCCCATTACTGTCCAATTTTCACACATTCTGGCAATGTCAGAGGAACTGAACTGCCTACGAGACCATCTAACTAATGAGCAGGCAAGCACTCACTTACCACTTACCAAGCCACACACACACATGATTTGCGAGGCGGACAGAAGCTGAAACTGATGCGATCCGGACACGGGATATGGTCTTTGGTCTTTGGTCTTGGGTCTTGGGTTTTAGGTATTGTGTGTGTGGCCACCGTGGCCCTAAAGGACACACACGAAGACCTTTTGGCCCTATGCTAATTTGCACGCCATAAATGAGACGAATGTGCCGAGTGATGGCATGTGAAGTCTAGTTGCACTGGCCCACGTGCACTAAAAACAATTCTACTTATGTCTTAATAGTTCTCTAACGATGAAGCTGGAATATTTCATATGATTTAAAATATATGGTTTCAAAATCGTACTCAGATTCTCAAGTGTTGTTTGTTAATCATCTTTATATCATAGAAGCTTCTATAGCAGACAGTCTCCCATTAAACTGGCATAGGGAAAAGCTCTTCTCTATCCCTACCGCAACACGTACAGTGTACGACAGCGGTCAGCACACACACATCGATAAACTGCCTGGTACACACACAAAAATGTAATATATTTTTAAAAATTATCCCTAATTTATTCAAGTTGAAATGTATATGTTAGAAATAAAAAAAGTTCATTCAAATTATTTTCTCTTCTAATACTCAAACATTTATTAAAATTTCAAATTGTGTACCAATTTTTGGGAAATTTTTCTCCGTGCACATGAGAAGTTGTTGCTGTTGCACATGCAATTGTTGCAAGTGGAAAACTGCTGCGGCCTGTCATGGATCGGAGTGAAAAGGAGTGGGAAGTGGATGAAGTGGATTTGGAGTAGTGGCGGAGTGAGGCGGGGAAACGCCGGCTGAAAGAAAAATCTGCAGCTGGGTGGCCCCGCCAGAGTTTTGTGAAGATGGGCGACTGCCAGCGACATGTGTTGCTGGTTCCTATATACTCGTGGTTGGATGGCTAATGCCACCGACAACGACAACGCCCCATTTGGATACACACAAACAAGCCGAGTACAAGCACCATGTGCCACCGCCACCCAAAAAATGGGGAAAAAACATTTGCTGACAAAGGACGACAGCTTACGTTCTCAGGCGATGTGCGTCGATAGGGCGTTCCAATGTCAACTGTTCCTGAAGGAACAACAGGCAGGATGCACTCAAAAAAAAAGAAGACTTTGTTGCCTTAATCCCCTAATAACTTCCTGAATTTTTCAAGTGTTACATAAACTTTCCTTTTTAAATATTTGTTAAATCGTTTTAAGAAATAAATAGTTTAAATGGATTATATAATATTTTTTTAAGATCTATGTATATCTGTACAGTATGTAATATTTAGAAACTGATTCTCAGAACTGATAGCTTTCAAAATTGGATGTACTTGGATTCATATTATAAATGGTTTATCTAGAAGGTCGTTCATTACGAGCAATTCGTATAAAACCAAATATTTCTTCAAGCTTTTCAAGGACAAAAAACGAAGGTTTCTACACAAATTTGTTTAAGTGTATGGAAATGGAGGCTATTCAGATATTGGTACCTATAATCCTTGATGTCTTTCCCATAGCCCCGCATTTTCGATAGCCCTGTGCGTATGGGAATGTACATACATATGTCTGTACCTATGTGTGTAAATAGGATGCCCTTGAAGGACGCGGCAGAAGGCTAGGTGGTCACAGGGGAGGGGGCTCACCGGATCGGACCGCCTCTGTGACCAAGTGATTACCGTTTATCGCCACGCCAAGGACCGCCGGCAAAAGTAACCTCCGTCCTGCGACCACACGCGCACCCACACTTGAAAACGCGTATACGCAATGTGCGCCACACACGCGCAACCATTTATCAGCTGGCCCTCAACGCCGTCTCCCTCTCACTCTCTCTGACTTGCTCTCGCTCTCTCTCGCTCTTTGCACTTGCGCTCGATTTTCAGTGTCGCTGTGTTCTCTCGCTCTCTCTAGCTCTCCCCCTCTCTCTCACTCACACGGTTGCTTCCTTTTGTGATACCCAGTGTTTGTAGAATAGAATGAGGTGTCCTATAAATTGAAGGTGTCTTATTGGAAGTTGAGTTTTGTTTAAAGTAGAGAATATAAATATACAAAATACTGTGACCTATGTATTAAAAAGCATTCGATGATCCTATAGTCCAAAAAATTTTGGTTTAATGTTGTGTAGTTTGATTTCCTTTACTTTTAATGGTAAATCCAATTCGGGAAGTCAATTATATAACTGTTATAATACAAAGTAAATCTTAACAGCACCTTAACCTTTAAAATAATTTAAACTGTTTATCAAAAAACACTAAAACCAATACATTATTCCTATGTCCTTATAGCTTTAGTCTATCTACTTTTTCCGTTAGGAAAAGCTGAAAAATTGAGGTTTTTAAAACTTTTCATAGAGGGACTTTGATAAATAAATTATATTATATAAATCTAAAGGGGCTTACCTTAATAGTAAATTTAAATGTCATAAGGGTACCTCCTCATCGACCCTCTCCCCGGGGCTTTCCCGTTCGTTTCCATATGTGCTCATCGACCTCACACAAAGACAAACGAAAGTGTAGGTGTGCGTGTGTGTTACATGGTGAAACGCAGAGAGAGAAACAATGCGAAACGAAACGAAATGAAACGAAGTGGGAAGTGAAACGGGCAGCGCAGCAGGCGTCGCAAGCGCAGTCAGCGTCGCAGTCGGCGGAAATTTCTGTATTTTCAAATTTCAGCTCATTTCGACTCATTTTCGACGCGACTTTCAAGCGGAGCGGTTCGTTCGCTCGATTCCACTGCGATTTCGATTTCGATTCGATACAATTCGCCTTCTCTCTCGCTTCGTGTGTCGCCCACCAAATATAACATAAAAAAAAGAAAAAATTCAACACAAAAAATCCAATCAAATACTACTCGAAACAAAAAATCGAGCACACACTCGAAAATTATACAAATCGTAAGGCAACTAAAATATTAAGCAAACGGCATGTGGCAACAAAGAGATTTGTGCAAATGAAAAATTTATAAGCACCCCCCCAAAAAGTTGAGCAATTTTTTACAAACCCAGAGAATCTGTATATTTTATAACAAATAGAAAACGAAATACAAAAAGTAGTGTTTGTTTGTGAGTGTGCTATCGAAGTGTTTGCAATAAAAATTGTAAAATGTTTGAGCCCTATGTGAAAATCAAGAAAAAGCGAAGTGTGCATGAAATCTATGAAAATGAGAATTTAGAGCAGCAGCAACAGCAACAGCAGCAGCAGCAGCAACCTGCTACCAGCGATAATTGTTGCTGCGAGAACGGAGAGCCGCAGAATGGGCCTGAAATTGCAACTGCAACTGCAACGGCAACGGCAACATCTGTAGCAGCAACATCTGCGACATCAGCAACAATCGCCACAGGAGCAGCAGCACCCAGCAGCAGCAGCAGCGGCAACTGCAGTCGCCTGCAGCAATTGATATCGACGCCACCAGTATTATTGCGCAGATCGTCGCTGCAACAGCAGCAGCAGCAGCAGCAGCAGCAACACCACCCACACACGCCAGCAGCAACAGCAACAACACAGCAAGCTGCGCCTTCAGTTTTGCAACAGCATTTGGGTCACCTGAATTACGAAAGTGGAGCAACTGCAGCGGCAGCAACCAGTAGAAGTGGCTCGGCAACACTGGCGCAGCATTTGGCAACACCCAGCAACATATTGCAGGCGGCATTCGGCAGCAGCAACTTGCAACACATACTAACCCGGTCCGCCCCCTCCTCGCCCTCGTCCAGTGCGATTTCCTCCAACAACTGCAGCAGCGCCTGTGCGGGCAATACGCACTACAACGGCGGCAACAGTAGCAACAGCAGCAGCAGCAGCAACAGCAGCAATCACCACAGCAACAGCATCATTGCCAGCCGCCTGTTCGGAGCTGCCTCCTCCTCCTCATCATCCTCCTCCTCCTCCTCAGTGGCCGCCTCATCATCCTCCTCTTCATCACACCATCTGCATAGCCATCACTCGGCGCTGACCAACTCCATAACGAATCGCATCAATCAGTCCATCAGGCGGCATCTGAACCAGCAGCAACATCACCATCCCCTCAGTGCATCCTCCTCATCCTCCGCATCCACATCGTCATCATCCTCCTCGTCATCCTCCTATCAGCAATCGTCGGTACAACAGCAACACTATAATTGCGCCCATCCTGCACAGCAGCAGCAGCAGCAGCAACACCATCACCACAGCAACAGCAGCAGCAGCAGCCATCATCAACACCACAGCAACAGCAACAGCAGCAACAACAATCAACAGCAACCACAACAATCTCCTCTGTGCCTAGTATTATTAGTTAAATGCCCCAATTCTAAGGAATTTTGTAACGCCGCCGCAAATTTCTGTGATAAAAGGTAAATATACCACACCAATTGGCTTATAAACGACCCTTTAGATAGTAATTATAAGAAAATAGAATAGGTCTTAGATAAATTTACATAAATATTATGGCTACTTAAATGTCAACCATTGGCATTTGTGCATATAAGCCATTTACACTTACTTTAAATAGCAGTAGCTATGGGTAGTGCATACAATTTGTATGATAAGTAGGTGGTCTTGAATGTCTGCCGATCAGTAAATGACAAAAGTTGAACTTTAAAGCATTATCTGATTGGTTGAGAAACAAAAAGCACTTTAAACTAAATGTTTATGACATAAAACCTCATGAAAACCACCAAATGCTTTTATAATAACTTAATATATTGAGTTATAAAGAGTTCCTCAAGGTACACTCTATAAGAACCTTTTCAATAACCCCCGACTGAGCTCTCCAATTGGCCCAGCTTAGCAACAAGTAATTGGTTGGTATAGCAAACTGGCCCACAATAAGCCGTGTCAACAATCGTTAGCCCTCCAATTGGAAACCGAAATCCACTTGAGATGTGTGGCCCAGAGTGTGCTGATGACCCAGTTTAATTCCCAGGACCTTTTGCACCCTGAACTACTTGCGTTCTGGGCCGCATTTCGAGTAACCATTGTCACATCCTTGAGTTACGGCCACAACAAACAGAACCGCCGAACAAACAACAGTTTGTTTTGTAAAAGTTTTGACGATGGTGTGAGCGGCATATACATATATGCATATATATATATATATATTATATAGTATATATTTAATTTTGATGACTTGTAGTTTCGGTTCGTTTCGGTTTTAGCTAGCAACCTCGGGGTAACCTAGATGGTTTTTTCAGATGACCTTACTTGCGTAAGTAATTGGTTTCTTTAGTGTGGAAACTTGATGATTTGCTTACTAATTCTATTGATCACCCTGAACCATCCGTTATACTATACTATACTATACTATACTACTACACTTTGCCGCCCCATCGAGAACTGGAAAATGTCGTAACTTTTCCCCGGGGCGAATAAACAGAACTTAAGTAATTAAGTTCCCTCAGTATATATCAGCCACCCTTAATAGCCAGCTATATCTCTTGCCGTCTCTTTCGCGGCGAGTGTAGGCTTTCTCTTTCGCACCGACATGCTCTCCTTTTCGTTCTTGTGGCTGCTTTCACACGGTGACCCCAAAAGGCGTTCGCCTAACCTCAAAAAGATGAACAGAAAATATAACAATTTGGTAAACACAAAATGCTGATGGAGGGATGGGGTTTTCTCTCTATCTACTGTATTTAATCTTTTTTTCTTGTTTTTTGTTTGAGTGGCTCTCAATTTTCGGTTAATTAATGGGCGTGGGCGACTTGCGTGCCAACCTTTGTCATTTGGGGTCAGCAAACAGCTGCAGCAGCAACAGCATAGCAGCAACAGCACAGCAGCAACCGCACAGCAGCAACAGCACAGCAGCAACAACTGCTGCTTTGTCATTGAAGAAGAGAGCTGCAGAATCGAGACCATGGCTCGTGCTTGGTTTCTTTCTTAATGCTTTTGACCATGTGCCAGTAATTGTTATTATTATTATGTTTATTTTTTTTTCTTACCCTATTCTTATTCACTTTTCACTAGGGCTGCGTTCTGAATTTCGTGCACTTGTTGCTCATTTTCTTTGGCCTTGCTGCAAATTGCCCGATAATCTACGGAGTGTTTCGAACAAAAAATTTTCTTTGTCCCAGACGCCGCCGACTGGCAAATCTGAGTCATGGGCCGTTGATTGCGGACTGCTCTTTATCAGCTGGCTTTCGAATGACGTGGGCACCCTTACTTAAAAAAACATATGTGTATAGAAGAAACATGTATTCATAATTCTGAAAATAATTGGGTTTTTTAAAGAAATTTATTATCTGGAAAAAGTGTTTACTAACCCCAGAAATTCTGAAAATTTCAGTATAGTCCTAGCTTAAAATAAAAAGATTACGTTTTTAAAATGAAATCATCTTAAACTACTATATTACCATCAACAATATTGTTCCTAAAGCCTTAATAGTGCTCAAATTTCGCTCCATCAGGCGTTTCCGCACCAGATTGTAACCCCAAAACCGTAAACCCCTTCCTGCGTTTCGAAAACAGGGTCTGGAGGCCTTCCCTTTGGTCTCGCTATGCGGTTTTTGTGTTTTATCTGCTCGAATGGGAAGAGACGGGAAGTTTGCTTGACTGATTTTCGCTTTGAAAGGGCTCGATTTTTATTTTTACTGGTCATGTTGCTCTATCGCCTGGCAACATGTTGCTGCAACATTATGCAATTCGGGCTTCCATTTAACTAGCCAATTCCTTTTCCCAAAAAGCCTGAATTCCAGCAATTATTAACAGATCGTGTTGTGTAGCATTGCAACTTTCCAATTTTGTTGTTTCCCCATTTTGTGTTTTTTAAATTTTTTAAAATGTTAAACTTTCAAAAATAGTGAAATTATATTCATTAACCTGGCTGCTGTTAAACTAAAAACCATTTACAAATTTGTATATTTTTACCATAATTGAACTCTCGTCCCAGAGTTTTCACTTCGTTTAGCACATTTCACCCAATAATCGTAAACCGAAAATCTCGCCCCAGTCTTTCACTCAACCCACATTTTATTTAGAACAGATACAGATCTCTCGAAGAAATCAGGCAAGAATTTCTAAGCCAATAAAAAAGAAGATCTTTTAAGCCAACAAGATCACGACGCTTGCGCCTAAAGAAAAAGTAGTAGAAATCCCAACAAAACGCCACAAAAACAAAAACAACAAAAAAGAAAGAAAAAAGAAAGCACGACAAAAACAAAATGTGAAAACGCATGAAAGCCAATTTCTTCTCTCTCGCTCACAATTTGTTTAGAAAGTGCAGAGAAAGAGGTAAAAGCGGCAAAATGCAAACAAGCTAAAAAGTTTGGCCCAAAACGTTTCAATGAAAATTGGGCACACAACATGTGGTTTATTATTAATTTATTGATTTCATTTCTGCTCTGCCCGCAAAACTTGTTTGCTTGTGAAAATTTATTATCCAACAAAAGCAGCTGGTAAAAAGTGATATATTCGTATGTATGTATGTTTGTATGTATGTTTAAGCCACGCGCTAAAACCACAACGTGCTTTCGGCTAAGAGAAGTTAAGAGCGTAGTTAAGAGAGAGAGATATTTTGAGCTCGACTTGGAGCTACGTCATTAAACAAGTTTTTACGATTACATAAAGTCTCGTTCCGCTGTCAGCAAACTTGCTCTCGTTTCGAGCTTCGGGATTCGGCTTTAGCTTTTCGTACTTTTCGCTTCGGGTGAAACTCGCCCACGCGCCTGCGCACTAAAAAAAATGATATGCTATTGGAACCTTTTAATACTTGGATTTTCAATAACAATATTTTGATAAAAATAGTTAATAAATGGGTTTATAGTTGATAAAAAATATCTATAACAATGATATTTCATTTATTTATAAAATTATTTCAAATCTTAAGTTAATCATTGTGTTTATAGTGATAAAAACTATCTATCACTGATAATTCATTGCATTGTAAAAGCATTTCGAATCTTAAATCAAAGATAGGTTTTTTATATTAAATACAGATAAACAACTCAATATTATTTTAGCATTCTTTGAAAAATTGAAATATATACCACCAAATATATCTGTGTTCTTTTTGTTTTTTTAAGAAAACTTTTTTATATCTGTTTAAGATTCTCCTTTAAATTTTCTTTGGCTAGATTTCCCTATGCTAATTTTATGCACAGTGCCCGTCACCCAAATAGTTACACCTCATTTCCAATGCTTCCCGTCGCTTTTTTTTACGTAATCGAAATATGTTTTCCCCTCACTATTATTCGTGATTAACACAAGCACAAACTTTCATTTATGCTGCAATCCCCAAACAAACCTAAAAAAAAGTGACAAACAAATGTAGCAAATTGCTTTTGGCTTGTGACGGCCTAGTTTTTTGGCCACACAAAGTGTGACACACGTTGATTAGCATTTGAAATCCGAAAAGCAAGCAACAGCAGTTATGTAAAAATTAACAACATTATAGTTATGCGTGGAAAATGGGACGCCAATTTCATTGTGACATGGTTTTTCGGTGAAGATTTCACGAAATGAGATCATATCGTCTATGAAATACAAACCCCAAAACGATATCATAGTCTTCATAATCCTTAATTTTCCCCTCTTATAACAAAGTTTATTGATCCATTAATTGGTTGACTGTAAACAATGCATTGGAAAACTCGAATCATTTAAGGGTATAATTATGGAAACATAATTTTCCACAACTTTCAATTGTTTTCATTAGTGCGAAAAACAATCGCATAGGCTTAAGCCAAACAAGGCAGCGAAGAAAAGAAATACAGCAGGCAAATTTCACTCTACATGATTTCGTACGCTTTATATAACAACAACAACAACAACAGCGACTACTGCGAATCGACTTTCACGAAAAACTGCAGGCAAAACTGCAGACTGCGAGTGCGAGTGCGAGGGCAACAGCGTTAGAGCGAGACAGAGCGAGACGCCAAGCTGGGGGCCTGAGCTTTCTCTCCCTCCGCAGAAATACCAACTACAAAGTAACTCCAAAGGCAAATGGACGACGCATCGAATCCGCCGACCGACGACCGACTCTTGAGTGAAAGACCCAAAACGAAACCCCACCAGAGAAAAAAAAATAACAAAACCCAAACCAAACCAAACCAAAACGAAAACAAACCCAGCCAAAGCGAAGAAACCGAAAGAAATGTTGAGCGTGGGAGTTTTAAAAATTAATATGCGTCAAACTGTTGACACTCCACGGGGAGATTGGAGAAAGATTTTCGAGTTGTCGTGAGTGGTTAGCACACTCTAAAAATTGGGGATTAGCTTTGTTAGTTGTAGAGTTAGTGATACCAGTTGTAGAGAATTTGTATCAATTTTACTTTTGGTGTTTAAGTATCTATTATATTTATGATATGTTGAACATGATATATGATTAAAAGGTTTTCCTTTGGATCCTTAAATATAGGTTGTAGTTTTAATATCCAAACTTTTTAATTGTATTTATAAATATTTACATAGGGTGTTTAATTATTGGTAGTTATTGAGTTAGAGTTAGTATTCGTAATACTATTTACTGTTTAAGTTTTATTACTATTTATGATATGTTAAACATGATATATTATTTGGCTGTTATGATGATATGATATGATATGTATGATATGATGTGATGATATTATATATGACGGTTTCCCTTCGGAACCGTAAATGTATAGGTATTAGTTTTGATATCCAAACTACTCTTTGTATTTAAAATCTTACTTTTATACAACTTTGAAGAAATATTAAAATCTGTTTTTGTAGTTTACCTATTACCTATTTACCTATTATTTTTACTCCTAATTTGAAATGTTTTTATCTAAAAACATAAATATTTCCTATTTTTGTTAGTTTAGGTATTTTTTTAAAGCCTTAAAAATGATCCTTCGTTATAGTATGTTACCTCCCTCTTAACCCTTAACCCCCCTAGTTTTTTCGTGTACCTAAGCTAACTCTTTTTTGTGGGTTGGGTGGGTGTCATCATTGTTGTTTTTCGTTGTTCAAGATGTTGCTCGTGTTGCTTTTCCGAAGTTGCCCGTGTTGTTGCCTCCGTTGCATTTGTAGCGGAAGTGAAGTTGTCGAGTTTGTTTTGGGAGTTGGACTGCGTTGAGTTTCTCTTTTGAAATCATTTTCATTGGCATGAAAGTTCACATTATTTAAATTAAATTGCTGCCGCCGCCGTGGCTTCTTCTTCTTCTTCATTCCCTCGCCGGCGACTGAAAGATGAAACAAAAAAAATGTATCTTTGCATCTGTGTTTTTGCGACGGCGGCGCCGCATTTATGTAAAAACCAAAAGAAAAGCAAAGAAAAGCGTTTCCTTTTGGCTCGAAAACAACGGCGACAACTGAAAAGCGTTTTTTTTTTTCACTCAACTCAACTCATTTGTTGTTGTTTAGGCGGCGAGTGAAAGGAGCCTTTGTTGCTGCTTTTGTTGTTGGTGAAAACGCCAAGTGAAAAGCCATGCGATAATTTGTTGTAAAAAAAATGAAAAATTTTCACCATTTTCAGCCGCTGTTCGTTTCGTTTATTATTGCCTTTTGTTGTTGCTGCCTTTATCAAATTTCATTTAAATGCTAATGAAAAGTTGCCGGAAGTGTGGAAAGCGCCAAAGCGAGTCGCTTGCAAATTATATAACTCTTTCCTTTTTTTTTTCGTTTCTTTTGGTGAAAAGCCATAGTCTTTCATGAGCAGCTGCCCATCAAGTCCAAAGTAAACCAGTTTTCCTTGGCTAAAACGATTTATTAAATTTCTTTAACGCGTGCTCTCCCTTCATTTGTCATAAATTCACGTTCTTTTTGATCGAAGAGCCCACACAAATGGAGGTGGAACCCCCGGGGAGTAGAGTTCTACCTATCTCTGTGTCGAAATTCTTCTCCGATTCCCTTGATCCATGACCAACTGCATTCGTCGCATCCCAGCTGGCGGATATTTGTTCAGACCTCTGGGCCCGCGGATCCTTTAGACCACTCACATGGTATGTGGGCATGTTCTGCAGCAGAACTAATGGTTTCTGCTGGCTAAGTAAGCAAAACTAATGGAATGACTAAGGGAAAAGGTTGGAAAGAGATGGGATCTACACAGAGCTGTGTGTGTTGGCCAAACAATTTGAATTTATTTACATGGAACCCTTAAACAGAGTTATAACTATTGTAAATACTATATAGTTTTTAGAGAGGGTGGTCTGTGTTTACAAACTGTTTTGGTTTAAATAAGAAAATTGGTATATGACTTTTATTAAAATTTTCAGTAAATAATACAATCCAATCAATAAACTACCATCTGGAATTACAAAGATATTTTCTTTCATATATCATTTCTGTTTGGATAGTTGGGAAACTGTTTCTGATGACTCATAGCTTCCACCTTTGGCTGCCTTTATTCGATTATGAAGTTCTGACTGCTTTTCGTTCCCAAGCTTAACCTTCTTTTGCCCCAACTTGTGTGATTTTGTCATTCGCCTTGTGGCGCCAAACAAATGATTTTCAATGTCATATACAAACAAAAAAAATTTTGGCTCTGGGCCCTTGGTGTGTGGATAGGTATACTTGGATGGCGATGGCGGGGGAAGGGAGCTTGAGGCCCCAATGCCAAATCAATGTCATTAACATTAAGGCACACTCACTAAAAATTGAATAAAGCGGCTTTACCGAGTGCTAAAATCGCGGTCTACGGTTTGTTCACCTTGACGAGCTGCGTCAACCTTTTTTTTTTTTTTGATGGCTCACACTCATTTCCAGCACAGTTACACACTCGCACACTCGTACACTCGCACACGCACACGAGGCCCATTGAAGGTCCTTCAGCTGGATTTGATGATGGCCATCAAATCGCCAGCAGCCGCAGAAAACGGGCAGCACCTTGAAAATCTCAACCTTGTCGAGCTGAGCTGAGCTGTAAATCGCTCGTGTGGCGCAGCCTTGCACAGATTTTCCGACTTTTTCAACGCTTGGCTGTGCACGGGAAAAAAATCGGAAATCAATGGATTTTGCTAATTGATGTCCTTAAAGTTTGGAAATCACTTGGTAGATACCCTATCGTATTTACAGAAAGTAAAACCTTTATTATTGAAACTAATATCATAAGAAACAGGATATTTAAAAAATTTAATATATTACTTACAAAAATTAAGTTACACATCTTTATAAATAGAAATATTATTATTATTTAGAAATCGATGGATGTTACTAATTCATGTTCTTAAAATTTAGAAATCGTTTGATGGATCCCCTTTTTTATTTACCAAAAGTAAAACCCCTATTATTGAAACTAATATCATTAGGAACAGGATAGAAATTACTTTGTTTGTGACTTACATAACTTAATATACAAATCTTTAAAAAACGGAATCCTTTTTTATATAATTTATCGTCGGATGTTCAAAAAATTTGGAAATGATTTGGTAGATACCCTATCATATTTACAAAAAGAAATATATCATGTCATTGGGAACAGGATATTCAAAACACCTAATATAATACTATCACAAATTTAGATACAAATATTTATAAAGGGGACTCTTGTTTTATATGATAATTTCTTAAACAAAAACATTAGATAAATCTTTAAAAAAGTACCATCATATTATTATATGATAGACTATTACATTTTCAATGACAATAATTATTATAATCCATTAATCTTACATAGAAAATTGCATAAAAATGGCAGAATCTTGAAAATGACCTCAGTATTATTCATAATTTTAGGTAGTATATTTGACTGATATTTTTCTCTGCGTGTAAGAAGACAGCTTCCTCTGCCATTTGCCGTCTTCCATCTGCATCTGCGCGACTGAAAACACGCATGAAAAGGACTGTTATTGTTGCTTTTGTGTGTCAGATCCTTCTGCTCCTGCCCATCCTCCCCCCGCACCGCTCTTCCATCCATTTTGCACCTTTATAAGGTGAGCGAGCGGCTCACGTTCACCTTCACCCTCAACGGCTGACCCATTGTTTGTCAATTTTCCACTCCTGGCCAACATTTTCCTGGTCCATTGTTTGTTGTCATCTGCAGCGTTCCTAAATCCTCCTGCCTGCCGAGATTTTCCAGGTCCCGTCAGTCAGTTTTCCTTTGCTGCTCCTGCGCAACGGTTGTGTTTTCCTTGTGATATATATTTAAACGTTAACGCTTTCTTTTTTTGATACTGCTGCTCTTGATAATCTCTCAAGGCATTTTTGAAAGCTTCGAAAGCTCTATCTTTATCTGGATTAAATCTCTCGTTCTCTGTTAATCGGTGTCTTGTGTGCGGAATAACGGATTAATTCGAACTATATCTTCAGCCATTATGAACGCTGCACTTTTTGGCGCATTTCGTTTCGTCTTGTCCATGCGTTTGTGTCTCGTCCCTCGTTTTTATTAGCAAATAACTCTAAAATATATTAAGAACCAAATTGTAAATCGTGCTTTTAAGAACTATTCTGTGTGATTTTGTGTGTGTTTCTCAACGGGCGGCAAGCTGGAGAACTCGCTGCTGTTGAAGCTGCTCAATCTTTTGGCCAGGCACTCGAATTCCGACAGCAATTTCGTCAAAGTTGAATTCGAGCGCAGCATCATGGATCTCATACAAGAGCCAAGGTGACCCCAGTTTCTAAAACTTTTCTATAATTATTTTGAACTAAAAAATATATGACGTTCTCTACCTTTTTATAATAGGCAGTATATGAAACTGTAAGAGTTATAAGAAGGTCTACCTACAAAGTGATCTAAAATATATTAATAAATAAAAAAATATAAATATTTCCAGTGGAAAAGGTCTACCAACAAAAATATCTGTAATATACATAATAGTAAAAAGAAAAATAAACTATTTTCTACAGTTCAACATAATATATTATAATTTATATCATATCTATAAAAATACTTATAAGAAAATTAAAAAAAAAAATTTTTTTCTTTTAATATTTCCTGTACCCATAATAAGATCTTTAACTTATGGCTCCTTTTGATCTTTATAAAATGTATTTCCCCCAAATAATCCCAACTAATCCCAACTATTTCTCCTTGATATCATTGCAGATTGCCGGTGAACGAATGTCAGGCAAGCCAAACAGCTAGAGTCACCTCGAACCTGCACGCATCCAGTAGCACGATGGCGGTCAGCCGTGTACCCTCGCCGCCCTTGCCGGAAGTTAATACGCCAGTCGCCGAGAACTGGTGTTATACGCAGGTAAATCCCAATCCCAATTCCAATCCCCCGAACGGATTAAATTTCCACATCCCTATGCGTATAACCGTATGGGTTTTTGGCATTCCTATGGATTTGCTAACCATCTGAGCCAAGCCGCCGAACCAAACCGAACCGATCGGATTTCACAAATATTGTAAACTGAATCCATTTTGTTGTAAAGCCGGTAAAAATGCATTTCCGCTGTAAATGGGCAGGTACAGGTGTGTGTTGAGTGGCTCAGGTGGAGGAAATCGGAGAAGTTTGTTACACGATTTACAAGGTATTCAATTAACCCTATCTCTTTCTGTTCTCCCCTAGGTCAAAGTGGTTAAATTTAGTTATATGTGGACCATAAATAACTTTAGTTTTTGTCGGGAGGAGATGGGTGAAGTACTCAAATCGTCCACATTCTCAGCCGGTGCTAATGACAAACTGAAATGGTGAGTACATAATTTAAACATAATAATAGAGAAATTACTAACGATCTGTTTATCTGTCGTGCAGGTGTTTACGGGTTAACCCCAAGGGTCTCGATGAAGAGAGCAAGGATTACCTTTCATTATATTTACTGTTAGTTTCGTGTAATAAATCAGAAGTCAGAGCCAAGTTCAAATTTTCCATATTGAATGCCAAGCGTGAGGAAACCAAAGCCATGGAATCCCAAAGGTATGTGTGCTTTGAAAAATAACTCAAAAAGATTTATGTTTTCTAATATTGTATATTTTCCCCGCAGAGCTTACCGTTTTGTGCAGGGCAAAGATTGGGGCTTCAAGAAGTTCATCCGCCGCGACTTCCTGCTGGACGAGGCCAACGGCCTGCTGCCGGAGGACAAGCTGACCATCTTCTGCGAGGTCAGCGTCGTGGCGGACAGCGTGAACATCTCCGGACAATCCAACATCGTGCAGTTCAAAGTGCCCGAGTGCAAGCTGTCCGAGGATCTTGGCAATCTCTTTGACAACGAGAAGTTCAGCGACGTCACGCTCTCCGTGGGCGGTCGAGAGTTCCAGGCGCACAAGGCCATACTGGCAGGTAAGGAAACATAAACAACACCTTGAAAAATACTCACCAGACCATAAATCCATTACCAAAACAAGTTCCGCCGATTACCATGAGTACTTAGCCGTTTAAACTTTTTTTTTACAAAGATCTGCGAACAAACATTAAAGAAAATACTTACATGATTAATTTTGTTGTAACCAATCGATTGAACTTAAAAATGAACTTCATTATCAATTTTTTTTTAAATGTATCCATTGTGTATTCGAATTTTTGATTGAAAAAATATTTAAATATAAAATGTTATTGATTAAACCATTTGATTGAACTTTAGGATGATTACTGCATTTTTGAATTGCTTTGAAGTAGATTTATATAATATATTTTGTTGGTTAACCATTTTATTGAACTTTGAAATTATTTTGGATTTTTTTAAAATATATATTATATATCCCTTAATTACAAGTTTATTAATTTTTATGAACTATTTTATTTACAGCGCGCAGCGATGTCTTTGCGGCCATGTTTGAGCATGAGATGGAGGAGCGTAAGCTGAATCGTGTCGCCATAACCGATGTGGATCATGAGGTTCTTAAAGAAATGCTGCGATTCATATACACGGGCAAGGCGCCCAATCTAGAAAAAATGGCTGATGATCTCCTAGCGGCTGCTGATAAGGTAAGTCTGCCATAGAAAACCCAAATTGATCAAAGTTATTAATAAAATATATCGATTATATTTGCAGTATGCACTCGAAAAGCTGAAAGTGATGTGCGAGGAGGCGCTGTGCGTCAATCTCTCTGTAGAAACAGCAGCCGAAACACTAATATTAGCTGATCTCCACAGTGCGGATCAATTGAAAGCACAAACGATAGATTTCATAAATACGTAAGTTGTTATTATTATTAAATCCCAGCGAATCAGTCAACTAACCAACGGATTAACCTCCTTTACAGTCATGCCACCGATGTGATGGAAACCTCCGGATGGCAAAATATGATCACAACACATTCACATTTGATAGCGGAGGCATTTCGTGCGCTCGCAACACAACAAATCCCACCAATTGGACCACCAAGGAAACGCGTGAAAATGAGCTGAAACAACAATGCAACAACCACAGCAACAATAATAATAATAACTACAACAACAGCAGAAAATCTTACACCAACAACAATCAACAACCAACAACAGCAACAACAACAACAACAACAACAGCATCAACAACAATTAGAACAAGAAACCAGCACCAACAATCGATTCAACAACTGCAACACAAATGAGAACTTCATCGGATGCAGCAGGCATGCGAATTATTTGATCGATCGATTGGCGGTCAACCTCAAGAAAGCATACGGCAATACTACAAAAAACACAATAAATTACATCAGCAGCAGAAAGATAATGGCAGAAATGCAGTACCGTTTATTGTTTCGATTTCAAGTAATTTAATTCACTTTAATAAAACTTGATTTTAAATGTATTTTATTTGTTGATTTAATATTACCTATGATTAATATGTTTACGAGTAATAACTATGAATTAATTTTAATCTTAAGTCCACAACAAAAACACAACTTGAAACAAAAGCAGCAATTAAAGAAGAAAAACAAAAACAAAAAACAATAATACAAACAAAAAAGAGCATAAAAAACAAAAACGGAAAATTAAAATAAAATAATTAAATTTAAAGTAAAGTAAAGCGTAAAAGAAAAAAAGTCGAAGGCGTAAATACAACAAGAAATAAAGAAATTCACTGAGAAAGCGTAACTATTATTATTATTATAATTATAACGATTATGATTACCGATTACTGCGTATAATTACAAAGCGTACACTTTGATTGTGATGTATATTCGATGAGTATGACTAATGAGTAACGAGTAAATGAGTAATGATACGGATATGATAATGAAGTTGATTTATATATTGTGTATATGTAAACTCGGAACAATTTTCAAAGCATTCAAGGTTTAATTGCACCCACCCACCAAAATCCACGCCCTCCCTTTCGAAATTGAGGAAAATGTATAAATTTATTATTTACTACTGGGTCTTCTATATTCTATATTTCAACATACTTCGCTGAATTCACTTCTTTTCCTGTAACGTTAATTTTTAGTTTCTCTTTTTCTTAAGTATTTAAAATCAGAAACGTGTTTCTCTTTGTTTAAGCGCAAAATGTAATTAATTTGTTGTACAAAACTATGAAAACAAACAAAACATTGTCGAAATAAAAGCAAACAGTAGCAATTTGTGTATAGTAAGCAGATAAAAACTGAAAAAAAACCAAAACCACTGATGCATCGATTCATTTTGTAAAGGGGAGATTCTCATGGGTGGTTTCTCTTCTGATTGATTCAGAACATTTCGACTTTTCCCACAAACGAAGGTTAAAAGTACGAGTAAAGTAAACGTGATAACAATTTATCTAACTATTAAATAAATGAAATACGGCGCAGACGAGATTACATTTTTATATGCGAAAATGCAGATCGTAAACTTGGTGTGTACAATTCAGGTATTCAGGAAAGGGTAGAACTTTTTGCAATAACGTAAAATAATATTGATAGGAGCAAACTACGAACGATTTCCATTGTATGTGTACTTCCGATTGACTTCGCATGTGATTTGCTATCAAGAAAGTGTAAATAAACTAGCCTTAGTCGCAGCAATTACATTTTGTTTCGAGTGCACAATTACCTAGTTACAAGTCCAATGCTTTAATCTGTGTATGTGCGTGTCTGTATAGTAATAGGTAACCGATATTAGCCTTTGAATGGATGGAAATGGGAGCACGGGATGACCGTCAGGGAGCTGTATAATTTTGGCCTGCTTAGCTATATTTATGTTGCCTCTTCTAATCCTAATTGAGTCTAATCGCGGTCATCCCTGAAATAGAGGAGCACTCGGGGTGTTAAGTTTTGGGTTGCTCTGCTCGCAATAGGAGCGAAATCAGTTTGGGGAAGACAAAACTAGCCATCTAAAATGTGTATCTAGTAAACCGACAACTTTTATGCATGCTAATCTAAATGTGTAGAAATTGACAAACAAAGAACGAAATGAAACTCTGCACTAATGGGCAATACAAGTGACAGCAACACGACATTTTTAAAAGCGAAATTGTAATTGTATTTAACAATATTAGATAATAAATTAATATGTTCTAAAATTACGTGGATGGCTTATTTCTTCTCCTGCTCTTCGAGGAACTGCTGCAGCAGTCCGCCATCGATGGGAATGGTTAGCTGTTCGGAGCCATCAACGCTTCGCTTCGACTTGACCAGTTTGTGATCGAGGAACTCGGTGAGCTGGGCACGCAGCGCAAGATCGGAGCTGACCAAGAAGGCTTCGCGGCAACTGGAGTATAAATCTCTAAATGGCATGCCCTGGTACGTGGCATTGCCCTTATTCTTCAGTTGGTACTTGACAATCAGCATGTAGATGCCACGCGAGTTGGTCGTCAGCGAGGAGAACACACTGCGCATCGAGGAGAGGGCCAATTCGCCGGAATTCTGCACCAGCAGGGAGTTCTCGAAGGCAGTTTCATTTGTATAAGGCAGCATTGTTGTGCAGTCCCACCACGAGAAGTTGAAGCTGCTCAGCTTTCCTTGGTCCCAAACTGCAAAAAGGGAATAGTTAATTACAAACAATATTGTAACTTTTTAAGAACACTCACGCAGTGGGGTGTTAATGTGATCGATGGAGGCCAGCAGATGAATGTTTGGCACTCGCGACAACCGCGATAGAATCGCCTGTGCCTTCACGTTGCGCAACATCGCTCCATCCAAATTGTGGACAATTAGGAACAAATGTGTCTCCGGTATAAGGGCGAACTCTTCCTCAATCATGTCCACCGCTTCATGCGGATTGGCAGGACTAACGCCCGCATCCAAAATCTCGCTTGTGATGCTGTCCAGCACATCCTTGAGTGTCAGGCTGGGAAAAAAGCCATTCACCACCAGCACAGTTTGTTTCTCCAATACCTCCCGGTGGAATGACTGCAACAACTGCCGCTTGGAGCCCAATCCATACAGCAGTATATTAAAGCCCTCGTTCAGAATGCACATCCACTTGGGAAAGTATGAACGATACTCTTCCATTATGGCATTGATTGATCCCTCGTGCTCCGTGGATAGCTTAATTTCGGACAGCAAACTGAACACACGATCGGCGGCCAGGCGGGGATTCTTCAAGCGATCTAAAGTGTGATCCGAAGTGAGAATCTTACTGCTGGCATGCGATTGGAAGTAGCCATCGCTCTCGGGCACAAACTCATTCGATTTCTTGGCCCTCGCCGATTGACGGAGACGAGCTGCCGATGGTGTCTTGGGCAGAACCGGCACCACAATGACTCGCCGCGCCTTGCTGGGCGTCTTGGGCTCATCATCGGCGGCATCATTGTCCGAGGAGTGGCCACCATCGCTGCTACTGCTGCTGGCGGAGGAGTCCTCATCACTGGGCCGGAAGTCGCTCTCGTCCGCGGAGAAATCCTCATCCGAGTCTGCCACTATTTTGGCAATATCTGAAAAGGTAAACTGGTTGTTAAAGTAATTGATATATGTTGGTTAAAATAAGTCGCATTTGCACAAAGTTACTTAAGTATATTGCTTGATTTTAAAGGAGTTTAAAGATAAATATTAGCCAAATTTTTAACCCATTTTTAAAAAATTTATGAATAGTTCTTTAGTTATAACTGTTAGGAAATGGATACAATTCTGAAGGATTCCTAATAGGAATACTACAGAAACTCTATGAAAAAATACAAGAAAAGGAACAAAATCTTTCTGTAATACAATAAATTGTGCAATGAGACCCCTAAAACGACTACCCACGATTCTTGACACGGCTGCGCACATGGGCTGGTGTCTTTGGCTGATCCGTGGACTTCTTGCGCTTGGTGTCAGGAGTTTTGACTCCCAATCGTGGAGTTTTTGGAGTTTTAGGCGTGCGGGGCGTGGCATTTAAGGCGGCTAGGGCCATGGCATCGCGTTTCTTGGGCGTATTGAATCCAAACATGCTAGTGCCGGCCACATTGTACTCGGATTGGATGAGATTGAGATCCTTGGAAGTGGGGCGGGCTGCATTCTCCGATTCCTCAACACTTTCTTCGTCTTCTTCCTCATCCTCCGGCTCATTGCTATGCTCATCCGACATCTCCACATAATTCACTACTACGCGCTCCTCCTGCTCTTTTCCATGGGTTTCCTCCTTGTAGGCCTGGTACTTCTTGGTGGGACTTGGACGGCGGGTGGAGCGGCGTCTGGTGACCTTGGTCTGCGACTCCTCCACCATTGCTGTGTCCAGATCTTCGGATTCTTCGGAGTTGGTTAAGTTTTCGATCGATTTGAGGTTCTGCTTCCGCGGCGTCTTATAGCCGCCTTTGTTGCTGGCACTCATCTTGCTTGCCAATTCGCTATGAGCTCTTTATTTCAAAATATTTATTTGGTAAACAAATAATTCGCGAAAATCCCTCAATGCCCAGAAGAGGCGGGAATTATCGATAACATAGTAGCGGTGTGACCAGTTCTGGCTTCGGAAAACTAGCTACATTTATAGCTATAGAATAGCTATAATAATTTTAAAATATTTAATTTATAATAATTAAAATATTATGTATTGCCGATGAATAGAAGATTTGTAACTCTTAGGAGATAAAAATGGGCTACAAGTTATCAGCTTTGCAATACAAAGGAAATATTTACTAGCCAAATCTGTTTATCATTGCGTTAAATTGTAATCAAAATGTAATAAAAATCTTACTTAGTATTGTAGTATAGTTATTTCCGATTACGACCTAATTCTTTAAAATAAGAAATAAGTTAAGTCTGCTTACAAATTTAATTTCCAGTGTTAAAACGTAAAAAGCCATCGTTATACAATAAATCGAATGTATAGTCACTGACAAAAGCTAAATATCAGTGTTTGTGGTTTTCTTACACTTACGTTGGTGCTCTCTCCCTCTTTTAGTGGTACTTACGTGGCTCTTACGTTTGCTGACACTTACGTTTCTGGCGAAAATAGCGATAACAGCGATATATCAGGTGAAAAATATCACGATATTAATATTTATTTTTATGCAAAAAATATTTGTATATATTTTTCACATCCCTAGCTGTGGTAAAGCGCGTGCTTCCCGAAGCTTGAAATTTAAATAAATAAATAATAAAAGTAAAACGCAGACTCGTTTGAAAAATACTTCCGATCGAGAGGAACACAGTAGTTAAAGTGAATAACTTTCTAAGTGCTTAAAAATCGTTAATTCTCGCATAGTTTTACAATTAGGCGTTTGTGGGAATAAGTTCCGTTATTCCGCCATTTTCGCTTGCCACCTTTTCGTTTAACCGTTCATTCATAAGTTCTTGCGAAGTGCGGTTTAATTCTTTCCCAACTTTTCGATAAAACTTGTGATTGAAAATTCCGGAAAATGGAGGAAATGTCGTGCGTAGTCTGTGGAAACCCATCCAGCTTGATGTGCCAAAG